ACAGAAGGCATTTATTTTCATTGTGATCTGTAAACACCATACCCTCTCTCACCAATGTCCAAGTCCTCTCATGCTTGTGCAAACTGGAACCCTTTAGAATCAGGGAAGCAGTGGCCTCAAGTCCATGGTTTGATGATGGAGAAACTGAGTGTCAAGACTCTGGAGTTCCCAGATCTAGAGTCTCAGCCACTGGTTCCCTGCTCCATGCTTTAATGCACTACCTTCACCAGAGCAGATTCAGTGTTTTGTGGAGCTGCACTTCATGGCATTGGAAAACTGGTATAGGTTAAGAAACCCTTAAAAAAGGATGGTGAAGGGTCTGGAAGGGATGATTTACGAAGAGTTGCTGAGGTCACTTGGATTATTCAGCTTGGAGTAGAGGAGGCTGAGGGATGACCTCATTGCAGTCTATGGCTTCCTCATGAGTGGAAGAGATGAGGCAGGTACTGACCTCTGCACTCCTGTGACCAATGACAGGACTTGGGGAAATGGCAGGAAGTTGAATTGGGACATTTAGGTTAGGTATCAGGAAAAGATTTTTCACCCAAAGGGTGGTTGAGCACTGGAACAAGATCCCTGAGGAAATGGTCACAGCACCAAGCCTGCCTGAGCTCAAGAAGCGTTTGGATGATGCTCTCAGGCACATGGTGTGATTCTTGGGGTGTCCTACATAGGGACAGGAGCTGGACTCAATCATCCTGATGAGTCCCTTCCAACTCAGCATATTCTATGATTCTAAACAACCTGCCGAACACGTACATATACATATACATATGTGTGTACATATACCTTTCTTTCAAATCAGATCAGCTGCATGATCTGACCACTAGTTAAGTCTTGTTTTGTTAAGTTTTGTAATAATAATGAGCCAGCCAGGAAAGCATATTTTCTTTCTGGTAGAATTAGGGGAATCTCCTTTAGTGACAGCTTCCTTTATTAGAAAACAGTTAATAATTTTAAAGCTATTTTGTTACTTAAAGAGTAGATTTTAAATAACATAAATATAAGAAAGAATGATGTTGTCTAAGTAGGTTATTTTTTTTTTTCCCATGGACTTTTGCTAAGTGTATCTACAGTTGTAACTGCTGATTCTGACATGAACCATAAAGAATCTATATGGTTATTTTCACAAACGGTTATTGAGCATCTTAATGCTAGTCCTACTGTGATAGACAACACCATGTATCTGGAGTGACTGTTGGAGTCGGGGGAATAATCAGTGTCCATGGAGTCACACCAGGGTGCAACCAGAGTCATTTTGGCTCAGTGTTCAATGAATATAATTGCATCTAAACTCTGCCATATAACTTTATATTTCCAGACCTTCCAAATCAAATTAATTTTAGCAACCTGCAGATCTAGGTATTGAGAAAATACGATGTGCTTTCTCTAAAACTGCTACATGAATTCAAGAGTATTTCTCAAATACAAAATTTCTTCTTACCTTTCCTCTAAATCTTGACAAACCATGTTTGCAAGTTGTGTAATATCTCATGCAGGTACTTTCTAAACAAGATTCACATTCATCCCATGAATTTTTCAAGGATACTTGACATTGTTTTTCTTCTTCTTCTAATCTTTCCTTTACTTCATCCATAAGTCGCAAGGCTTGCTAAGAAAAAAGATTCAGTTGAGGGCAATTTTCAGGTTAATGTTCTAAATACTTATCCCATTGTTGATCACTTAATTTGAGTATTTATTATTCCTTTTTTCGCTTATACCTAACCAATTGAGTAGGTTTTCCTCTCAGCTGCAGTCATATATGAAGGGAATTGAAAACTGAAAAACTCTTCCTCATGGAGTTCTTCTCATGTCATTGTCTCAGAGGACACAGCCTACAAAACCAAACAGGTCACTACAGTCTACCTAATCTTTGAGGTTATGAAAGAAAGCACGTGTCCTTCTGTCCAAGAAACATTCAGCCTTTCACAATGTCATGCAATCAAGTAGTATAATTTATTTTCTCCAGAATATCTGCAGTATTCTTCTGTTCCACATACAGGCCTTTTTGGTTGCTTTGCTCTGTTCTTTAAGGGACTGGTATTTCATGAGGATGGGTCCTTGCCATACATTGATTAGTAATCTAATGCAGAGATATGTTTAAGTATTGCACTTCCTCTGTTTGGGTTTATACTAATCAAAAGACAGTAGTGAGGGGTTTTCTTCCTGCTCCTGTGGAAGTATGAAGCACTCCTTGCATACTAAAGGGAAACAAGATGCATTTTACAATGCTGTTTCTGTTTACTGGATTGTTCTTAATCAGGTAGAGCACAGAGCTGACCAGTTCAGAAACAACATTTTAGAATAAACTCAGCAATGGAAAGACAGAAGTGTTCTTCCTATTGAAGTAGATTGCAAATCATAAATTTCTCTCTGCAAGTTCCAGATATTTTAATAGTTTAGGTTTCCAAAGAATGTTCCAAGTTGTTCCTCAGTACGATGGAAACCTTTTAATTTGTCAGTCTTACATTAACTTTCTGGCAGCATTTTCAGTAGCAAAGAGGCTCACAGATAATAAAACTTCTGTCAGAATGTGCTTGGTGGAGACAGTAGCTGTGGTCTTCATAGTCTATATTTAATTATTTTCTGATCTTTCTGATACACTTATTCAGTGTTTTAGCATCTCTCACTGGGGATGTAAGTTCTGTGTAAATGAAATCATCCAGTAAGAGCTAACAACACTGTAGATGATGGGAGTGTACTGGTGTTACTAAGTGTGTTAGAAAGCTATCAGGTACTTCTTGGCTTGCTAATACAAATAGTTTAACCTAACTACCAGATGTTAGGCTGAAAGAATTGTCCTGCAACTTCATTGAAAGCAATAGTTAGGATCTTTGTATTTTTTAAAATATAAAGTAATTTCTAATTCTCAGGATCATTGAGCACGTGGCTTCATGCCTAGGTGTTGTACTAGGACATTGGAAATTCCTCTGATCCCCTGTACTTCCTCTAGAGTATATTATAATTTGTGGTTTTGGTATTTTTCTGAAGGTCTCAAGTTTGCAAAGCAAGCTGGGAAGTATCTTGTGGCCCAGGGTGTATAAAGACATGCAGGGCAGAGCTGCTGGGCCTTCTGCACAGAACACCTTTATACAGTAGCTTGCAGTTGCCTTGGTGTGAATTCAGTGAAGCAGCAGATTTCTAGAGATTCCTAGCATTAAGGCTAATACTTTTTTCAACACGTTGCTGTTGCAGCCACTCTGTCTTTTGGATGTTACAAAACTCAGGTTCTCTCTCCAGGGAAATGTTTGAGTCCACATTACAGCATTTAATGTCTCCTTTTACTTAAGAACTTCTCTATCTCCAGATGGTGGTCATCATCAGCTTGAATATGCCTAAGCTGCTGCTGCTTACCTCCCCACTGCAGAATAAAATGAGAGCACTCAAATCTCAGGGAAGGTTCTGTCAGATGGATAACATGTTTTACCTGGCAACCAGGATGGGCTGAGGGACAGGAACTTGCTCACTACTGGTAACTCGGTATTTTGTCTAGTGCTCACTCTTTCAGTTTCATTTTAGAAATAGCTTGGACATTCAGCCACAGGGAAAGTTAAGTGTGCCACTCAGAAAGCTGTATTTCTGAGGCAAGATAGAAAATGTTCACCTCTTGCTTTCCAAAGAACAGTGCAATCTGGTAGAGGCACCAGTGAGACAGATGGTGCTCTTGTTCAGTGCTTTATTCCAGGACAGACTGAAAGCTTCCCTCAGGTTTGAAGCCTCAGTTTGCCAGAGTCCTGCCAGCAGGCAAACCCTTTCTTAAGAAATTGGCAAATCTAATTAATGTTTTAACTTTTTCTGAAATGTGAACATCCAGGTTCCTGATAGGCTACAAAAGGATATCTATTGGACCAACTCCTGCTTCCAAGAGACCTCTGCAGAGGTGCCAGGAGAGTTTTCTTCCACTAATGAGCAAATGGGACAAAATCAGATTTCCTATCAATCCTGTGGCCACAAAAGAGATTTATGCTGCTCAATGTGTACATACAATGTGGTTTATGTTCTTCCCAGGAAACGGGAGTCATCAAGGGATCCTTTGAGGATGGCTAATTGGCTTAAGCACAATGGCAATAATTCCAGGAGGTAGGCCAAGTCCATGTACAACCTGCCTCATCTTTGATTAAAAAATAGCAATAACTTAACAAAAATATAAACAAAAAAACCAAACACCCAGATGCACCTCAGTTACCTGTTTTTCTTCACTGCTCTTCTTCAAGGTTTTCATCAGATTAACATGCTTATCTTCATTTCTTTCCATCATAATTTTCATCTGCTTAATACCAATCAAAGCTTTCTTTACTTCTTCATCTACATACTTCTCTCCAACTTCAGATAATACTAAAAAAAGTCAAATTATACAGTGTCCTAATCAGATATTAACATAATTACAAATTACCATGCACCAATGATGAAGGAGATGCAACTGTTTCCCTACAGTTGCAGAGCCAAATCTTGAGATAGTGAATGCTGAATAACACAAAGCCACGACAATTTCCATCAGATAAGAATATGGCCCAGAGCCTTTGCCAGTGACCAGCTGTGTGTAACTCACATGCCCACTGCTAATCACTGAATCCCAGAATAGTTGAGACTAGAAGGCCTCTCTGGAGATCATTGCATCTAGCACCCCTGCTCAAAGCCAGGTCAACAAGACCAAGTTGCTCGGGACCTCATTCTGGGTTTTGGATGTCTCCAATAATTACTCATCACTTTTCTAAGTACATAACTTACATATTTATCTTTGATCTGAAAGCAGCCTGTGACATCTTCCCTTTACATTTTGAAAATGTAGATTAGCAGTGCCGTCAACATACTTTCACAAAAATACAATCTCTAGATGTCCTGTGAAGTAATAACCATAGAGTTTTGGTGAAAGCCTGGGTTGGCCCACATGTTGCACCATGAAGCTCTGCATGATTGTCTATGCTTCATCATACATCATTTGTTCCTTTTGCAGAAGTACCTTAGTATCACTGGAGCTATACAAAACAAGTAAAGAACACATCATCCTGAGACTGCTAAAATCATGTGTCAGTCATTTCTTCCTTCATATCTTTCTTCCCCTCCCCTAACTTTTTGCTTGTTACAGAAATATTACTTATGTAGGCTGAAGCAAAGGAGTATTTGATGGCTGACCTTCTTGGGATTCCTATCCACAAGATAAAGACATGCTTAAAAGTGAGTATATGCAGAATAGCTTTTTTTTTTTTCCTAAATTAAGTAATTTAATTTCAATTATTTGTAAGCACCATCTTTTCCAGCAAAATATATAATTGTAGAATAAACATTTTCAAGGATTTTTTTTAAACAAAATTATTCAAAATCTGTCGTATTGAATTTTGGATTCAGTTTATATTCTAGTGATCCATGAGGGACCAAATAATCAATGAAAATGCTGTAAATACTTTTCTGTAAGGCAATGCTTATCTGTTAATCCCTTTACTTTCTCATCCCAGTTTTTCTTATCTCCCCATTATGTGTGCTTGGATGCATGTTGTCAGCTATATGATGGTTTCTAATCTCCACACATGGAAGTGAATCCTCTTGATGCCATTGACTCTGGAGACCAAAATGCATCAGGAGACTGTAGACCTGGGCCCAGGGACTTCCAGTACACCCTTGGTAAGAAAAACATACGTACGCTTCAGGTTTTCCCGGGGACTCATTTCCTCCTGCTTGGTTGGTGCACACTGATAACCATTCAGCCATAGCACGTATATCATAAAAAACCAAGAGGACTTCATGTTCTTTCTGTTAAAGAAGCAGGTCAGTGCAGTTAAATGTAAGCATCTTCATAATGCTCAATTGCCCAGGTATAATGTTTACTAAGTATTTTACAAGTTCCCATTAATTTTTACTTCAACGATGCTTTCTGAGATCTATTACATGCACCTAAGTGCTACTGTTAGTGGGAATACATGAGTAAGAAGCTTGACCTCATTTGTAATTATCTATTCAGGCTAACTAGATGAACTCCACTGAGTTTGCACAGGGGTGTAACAGAATCAGGACACATATATTTATATATATAAAACCAAAAGCTTATGCAGCTCAGTCTGTCCCTTTTCTACCTTCTGAAATACACTAATTACTGATCTCATGCTATCTTCTTAGTTTATATTATAAATGACTCCATGCTAAACATTATTGCCAGATTCAGAAAGGGAAATTTCAAGAATGTTGTTCCGTTCCTTGTCTCCAAACATGCAATGCCTTTCATTGTCCTTCTGGATAATACTTAATATAACAGACACAATAATATGTGAGCCCAGAAATTGGCAATTAGATTGTTTTTGTAAACAAACACATCAGCATTTGCAAGAAAATCCTACAAAATGAGAGAAAGAAATGAGATTTGTTTTATTTCCTTCCCAAGAGCAGTTAGAGGAGGAAGGTTCATTTTTTTAGAAACCATGCAACTACACGTTGTAGTTCTCATCTGAATAAGTGAAGACAATATTTAAGTGCCTTCTAGTTCTCCAGTATAGCCTTCTTGCAGGTGCAGTTATCAGCTGCAAGTGCGTAAGTATATTAAGAGCCTGTATTTACTTATAGCCTGGGTTTACTTCTATAGCTACTTGCATATTGACCCTTTACATTTCTAGCAGAAGACCAATTAACTTTGCAAAGAAATACAAACCCATTGATAAAGAAAAGAAACCCCAACATATTTACCATTAATATAGAAACACCTTCTCTGCAAATTGCTCCCCGCGTCAGGAAGGGGTCGGGTTGTGTTCTGATCTAACTGCTGGGAGTGTCAGGGATTTTGCCATGTTCTACTTATCTGATGAGAAGGTACTTAATCCTATTAACGGGACGTTTTGTCAGTAGGCTGGAGGATTGTGCGTGTATATGACTTCATGTTCAACACTGTGGGCAAAACCACTAGGGGGAGCGTTGGGCAGAACTGAAAAATTTAATGTCCTTTGGATCTGCTCTTTTTCTGTAGTCGGTAGCTTTTTGTCTCACTAGCTCTTCCATCATCTTGCTTTTTACATTAGGATGCATCTGCAGCTTATGTCTTCAGTGAAATTGTTACAATTTGTTCAGCTAAAAATAGCTTCTGACATTTAATCTCTTCAGTGTAGTTTAAAAAAACCACTATGTTACATAATGGCTTTCTTTGTATACCTTCTGGACATACAGAAATTGAAAAAAAAATCAGGAATCCAGGCTGATGTATGAGCAGAGTCTGAAATGACATAAGGAAATTTTGGCATTTTGTACATCATTATCCTTGCTAATATTTTGGGGGCTTGCCCTCCTAATGATTTTCTTCATTTAATCCATGTGTGCAAAGTATGTCTGGGATCTGACCTGCATGAAGTTTTGGATACTTTGAAAAGAGATATTTAAATACTAACAGATGCTTGATATAAAATATGGACAAGTATTGTTAGCAAATCATATTCCACCTGGTGATGTTCAGCAATAATACTCCCTTGTAGCCAAAGAGGAGCAGGGGAAGGTAGATGTCTGTAGCTCATGGTCTGTAACAGCAGTTTTAAAACATCCCATTCTTTTTTGTTTACCTCATAGTTAATAAAAGCCAACTGATGATTGATGGCTAAGATCTGACATGATTAATGCTACTTAGGCAAGAGATTTGAAGGGTTTATTTTTAAACACATTATTAGGAAGAGTGGAGAACCTGTTAGCTTTAATGGGAACTGCAAGTCCTCAATTTGCATTAAAAATTAAGATAGCTCCACTCTGAAAATAATCTATGGGAGGGCAATATGTATTTTGTTTTAATACCCGTGAACTGCTGGCTCCCTGAAATGCTGTGAAGTCCTTGACCAGGACTCATCACTACACAAAACCTTTCAAATTCTCTGTTGTGGCAATACCAAGCAAGCACCCTTGCAGACTTGCAGTCCCCTGGCCAGGCTGTTTGCTAAGCAACCCTGGGGCTAGGGCTGAAGTAAAAGGGGCAGTCTCTCATTCTGGGCCTCATGCTTGGCTCAAGAGAGAGAGTAAATGGAAAATACATTTGCACAAAGGAAGACAATTATTACAGACACTTACGAAATGCATGTTATTAGCCTACATGTGTAATGAATCCTAACAAAAACTTTAATCTTTCCTGCCAAGGGTTTGTCCCAGCATTTTTGGCATTTATCTGTGGTAATACTCATTTATTAGCAAAAATTACTGCTGGTCTTTCTGGACCTGGATCAATATAGGGAAAGCTTTACTCGATTCAGAGCAAAAAGGGCAGTTTCAATACATCACCCATAGTTCAGAGGAATTTGCAGGAAAGGAGGCAGCTTCAGGCATACAGGGAGGGAGAGCAGCAGTCCTGCCCCAGAACGGAGAGGCTGGAGGCTGCCTCTGGCACAGACTCCACACTTATTTTCAAAATTGCCTGACTTCTAAAGTTCCTTGTGGGGGTCTCTACTCAAACACACTCCTGCACCTTGCAAAAAGGGTTATCTGTACCTAAGCTAATGCTGAGACACGGAGTCCTGGTTGGTGTCAGGTGCCTTTTCTCAATTCAGTTGATTTTGAACATTGCATTGTGAGTTGCATTGTCTGAGATGTTATTCCTCAGACTTTTTAATAACTACTATGTAACCACATAGAAATGGGCATTACACTAAATTCTAGTTCTCTGTTCTCGAGTCAATTCATATGTATCTAATAACTGAAAGAGATGGTCTAATGAACCTGAGGACAAAATTCCTAGAGCTAGTATGCCTGTTAAAGTTAATCTTAGGTTTAAACATAACCTTTGAAGTGTAGTAAAGAACCCAACACTCTGTTCCTGAAAGACAGTTATTAATCATGCTCACTCTGGAAATCTTTTCCTCGCTTGTTTCTCCTGTGAATTGAATTAAGCAAAAATCTCATCATTTATATCTTCAGGTTTTCTATCCAGTATCCACTCTCTTTTCTTTTAGCATTCTAAATCTGATTTGCAGGCCCTTTTGTGGAGATCTCAAATTTCTATTTCAGCTGCCATGTTCAACAGTTTCCTATAAATATTTAATTTTCCTCTGAATTTGAGTGCTTCAATCATGAGTACGCCATGTCATGAAATTGTGCTGACATGCTTGTTTGTTTTTTCACAGGCTAGTATGTGTAGATGATTCAGTGCTCACTGATGCTGTTGCAGTTTATAAGGTGCTGTTCTAATACTGCATCATACTGGACACAATCTGAAGAAGCCCTTTGAACCAATTGTAAAAAGTGTCTCCCTACCACAACTGTTATCCCAGTACTGCTGTATTTTAATTGAAATTAGTATGTATATATTGGGGGTGGGGGGGAAGGAAATAGCTTGAAAAGGGATTTCAGTAAAAATAGGCCTTTGCAAGATACTGATAAATTGAAACAAAAATAATTGTAATGATACAGATAGACATTGAGCTTGAACCTAGCTGAACTTGAGCAATGAGAGTTGTAGCTGCTTTGCAGCATTTCCCTCTGTCCCGTTGGATGACCTCCACAAATGTATAACATTTTTTCACAATGTACTGTGACTTCTCCCTTTTTGTTGATCCATTCCACCTGGCAGGATTAAGCATCAAGAAATATGTTGAAATGGAATTTCCTGTATTATACATCAGCTGTAGGACTTTGTTCCAGTTATATATTTACACAATTATTTACTGTTTGAAAGAGTTGTTTCCTGCTATGTATTTTCACATTTCTTTCTGAGCTGGGGCAGTCATATAATGATCAGGCTGGGAATACCTGTACATATTATAGACCCTATGAGTCATGTAAACTGCTACGTATTGACATTAAATTTCTTGATACTTTTATGAAATAGTCCCCAGTTCTACCAAATCTTAATTAGCTTTATTTGTAAGCACACCATTAGTTTCACTGCTTTCAATTGAAATTAAATCCTACTGGGGTTTTATGGTGTAATTACATGGCTAATCTAAAGCATGCACAAAGCTTTGCTAACAGTTATTATGGGTTTTAAGGCTATAGAATTGAAAATTTGTAGTGTGAAGCTTTGTTTTGTTTTGTTTTTAATCCTTCCTTCATAGTACTTTTAATACTTCCTAGGCACTCAGGAGCCCCTGAGTGGTTTCTGCTTTCTCTGGTATTTCAAAGGCTCTTGGAGCCTTCCTTCAGTTTCTATTCAGTCTGTCTTTGAGCTCTACCTCACTAACTAAATTTAGTAACCAAGGCTCCTTCTTTAGCCCAGAGAGAGAGGCGAGTTCCGGTGATGTTTCCAGTCACACTGGAAGGCCTCCGACAAAGGAGCTGAGGATACCCTAAGTTGGATAGCTCAGGTCAGTCTAAGCTACATGTTGCAAAAATACCAGCCCAGGCCCGGAAAGTAGCACAGCTGTGTTAGCATGACAGGATCTCAAAGATTATGAGTCTTGCAGCTCAGAGTCAGCCCAGCACAATTACACTGTCTGGAGGAGGGTCAGGCAATGCCAGGTCAGGACTGTGCACTGGGGTCAGGACTCTGCATTGGGCTCAGCACAAACATGAAAGCAGCTGAAGGCACGAAATCAGCCTGTGTAGCTTAAAGCATCACGCTAAGATTGAACATGGCTTTATTTGGAACTATGATGCTACAGCTTTTCAGGTTGGCAGTTAGTGTGCTATGAGCCTTTTCTGATTTCCTTTCGCTTGTCCATCCATGGATGTTCAGGGTCCCTATTAGGTGTCGAAAAAATCTTCTATGTCACTGTTGAATTTTTTTCCCCAAACCCTCCAGGACTTTGACACAAAATTCTAAATACCAGTCCTAGCAGTAACGTGACAACTGTTGTTCACAGGGGCATGCAAAGCTTCTTTATGCCTTATCCAGAGACGTAGCAGAAGGGACCTACTGTGATACTGAACACTGTATTTGGGAAGACAAATCTAAAACATAAAGGAATTTAATTTTAGAGAACAGAGGATTAAAACCTTAGAGTTGAATGTAAGACAATATGAAGCTGAAAACTAAAAATTATGAGGTTGTCTTCAGAATTTGTGCTTGGGATATCAGCTAACTTTTGAACTTTGGAGTAGCACTGTTACTGATGTTATGCTATCAGCAGGAGATACCAAAGTCAATGCAAGGATAACAAAATGAATTAGAAACAATTTATTATAAAGCAATGAAGCAAACCTGCACGGTACAGTTACACAAACAGATTTCAGGAAGCATTTAATATTAAAATGCTGAAGTTTTGAACCAGATGTTTTGCAAGGATTTAGTTTCAAGCTTCCCTAGGAACATTAAAACAAAAAAGTTTTATTGCATGCAGACATGTAATATATCAGTTTTCAGCCTGCAACTGAAAGGGACAGGGTTCCTTGTGTGTATTCATCTGGTTTGTTTAAGCATATCTTAGTCATTCAGCTCTGTATCAGCTAGTTGAAAGAGTGGCTGCTTATTGGAAACAACTCTGGAGTCTAATGAAATTAAGATGACTGAATTATCAGTTTTTTAGGTGCTGAACATCTCTTTCAGATGCTGAAAAGTGCCCTAATCTGCTTCTTTCTCGAAAAATAATTTAAGGCATTCAGGATAGGGCCTTGATAATATTTGATGAAGAAACTCGGAATTGCTTTGATGGGGAACAATCTTCTGGCTGGTAATTTAGCCTCTTGCTTCTGCTGCATTTGAAGTGGAACCTGCTCCAGTGCCTACAGAACAGAAAACTCAAAGAGGGATATCTGGAGATAAAGCTTCCTCAATACAGCTGATAATAGGACACAGAACGTCTCCTTGCTTGCAGTAGCACAGAAGTGGAGGAAGTAAAGCTGGAATGGTGCCTGAAGCTTTTTCTCCATTT